TTACAATTTATTTCAGTGGGATTTAACTTTCTCTGGATTTCATAGTATGTATGTATGCATATACATATGGATAGTGTTTATGACCCATACTTTATCCACACCTGCTTTTTCTCCAGTCTCTGCTGCTTCAGCCCCCTGCCAGGTCACTGACCCACTTTTGAAAAATGTTGTTGGAGTTTCGAATTGGTTTGTCAATTTGGTGGCAGTGTTGGTGGTGTGCCTGCTGAAGCAGAAACTGCTGAAGCAGAAACTGATGGTGTGCATGCATATCCATCTTGGAAATTATATGTATATTAAATTCTCTCTCCCCTTCCGCCCCACCTTGCAAAGCATTAAGACTTCTGCTAGTGAGAACCATCTAGGTTTACTCCAGATGGAAACTGAAAACTCTGCTCTGGAAAATAACTGCTCCCTGATCTCAGCTTCCCAAACTCTTTGCTGTCTAATAATTACAAATCTTCACAGTAAAAATGCTTGCTACAGTGGAGATTACAAAAACCTGTAATATACCTCTTCAATCCCACCTACATAACCCTGTTTTCTCATTTATTTAGATGCAACCCCTTCCAAGTATTTATTGGTAGTCAAAACACATAAACCCTGCTCATTTATCCCCCTCCAGTGGCTATTGTGTATTTTGTGGCATATATGGTTGTCATATTTTGAAAAGCATAAAAGAGGACACATTTCCATACCCATGAAAAAGAGGACATGTCCTGGAAAAAGAGGACATATGGCAACCCTACTTTCAGCTCTGGTATTTCTGTAGTAGTTTCATTTTAAATTACAGAAAACAACAACAACAATGATGATGATGTTATTATTTATACTATACCCATCTGGCAAAATATAAAAAATAATAAAATCAAAAATATTGATTTAGTGACAAGTGCTTATAATCACACAGGCATATTTCCCCCTTAAAGAATTCTGGACACTGTAGTTTCAGGGTTGCCAGAGTTGTAACTCTACAAGGGGTAAACTACAGTGCTCAGAACTGAGGTGAACAAATGTGTTTTGAATGTGCTTTAAGGGCATAGTGCGTACACAGCTTAAGCCAACAATGGGCTGGACTAATGTCTTACGTTGGTAATAAACTGGATGAGAGCCAAGGGCTCCATCAGTCACCCACTACTTGATTTAGCCCTTTACCACAAACAATATTTTTGAAATGGTTGCAATGCTTTGCTAAACTGTAACCTGAGCTCCTTGTGGAAAACTTTGAAGATCCCTTTCACCACCCCCTCCAAGTTTCCGTGTGTGGCCTGGGACATTTTATCTCTGTGTTTAAAAGGAAAATGGAGATAGAGGCGGCCTGGTTCTCAAAAGTTCTCCTTGGATTGGCACAGGATTTTCCTGGGTCAGAAATGTGTCACTCCTACAAAATCCTACAAAAGCCACCCACCCAGCACACTGCCTTCTTTCTTTTTCCCTGTTTTAATTTTGCAGTGAAGCTGAACTGGCAGCAGTAGTAATAGAACAGCCACTTTAACTGATGGTCAGGGATGATGGGAATCTTGGCATCCCAAGTTGGAGCAGGCTGGTCTAGATTGTATATGGTTAATGGGAATGGGGAATGGGGGACAGAGCAATGGTCACCAACAGTTTACTCTGTAGGAAAGCTGTTGGACTAAATCACTTTCCTTCCTTCGAATTCTGATTGTAGGATTTAAAGAAAACCAACCAACAATCTGTGAGCATCTTATGCCTTTCTCATGTTGTATTTTGCTGTATTACACATGCATAATTATAGGTACAGCCATGCACCTAAATGCAAAGCAACAAGAGCATGGTTCCCTCTTCCCTATGCTGTCCACATATCCTGCCATTTCCTTCTTTTAACGCCTGTGCCTTCTTTTCTCCTCTTACAGGATGAATCGTCCATGTTCTTCCAGTTTGGTCCATCAATAGAACAGCAAGCTTCTGTCATGCTCAACATCATGGAAGAATATGACTGGTACATCTTCTCCATTGTCACTACCTACTTTCCTGGCTACCAGGACTTTGTCAACAAGGTCCGTAGCACTATTGAGAACAGCTTTGTGGGCTGGGAGCTAGAAGAGGTGCTCTTGCTGGATATGTCTCTGGATGACGGAGACTCAAAGATCCAGAATCAGCTCAAGAAACTCCAGAGTCCTGTCATCCTCCTTTACTGTACTAAGGAAGAAGCCACCTATATCTTTGAGGTGGCTAACTCTGTGGGTCTGACTGGGTATGATTACACATGGATTGTACCCAGCTTGGTGGCTGGAGATACAGACACAGTCCCCTCTGAATTCCCCACTGGACTTATCTCTGTGTCATATGATGAATGGGACTATGGCCTTCGCGACAGGGTGAAAGACGGAATAGCCATAATAACCACGGCTGCTTCTGACATGCTGTCTGAGCACAGCTTCATTCCTGAGCCCAAGAGCAGTTGCTACAACACACAGGACAAGAGGATCTACCAATCAAACATGTTAAATAGGTAAGGGAAATCAGCATAATGGGTTGTCAGTAGCTGGCATGTTCTAACCATCACAATGGATATGTGTCTTATTGAATGCTTTAGGAAGAAAACTTCCAGCTGGGTCTGATTTCTGGGGTAAACAGGTAATCTGTCATGGTTCTTTGTTTCTTGTACAGTGTTCATTCATGCTAACTCAAGAGTAGTTTTGAAATTAATTCAGAATGAGGAACTGGTCGATTATAAACTCATTGGTTGTGTAGCAGTCAACAGAAAATAGAAGCAGAGTAACAGCTTCATATTAACAGTGTTTGTACACATACTTAAGGATGAAAGCTATTTTTGTTAATTTATATGTGAGGGCTTTCTGCAAGTGAGCTGATCTTCAAAGTTGTAAAGTACAGTACATTATTAAGATTTATCAAAGCAAAAGCTGTATGTGCTATATAAAGAGAGATGGGTTTTAGACTGGCTTGGCAGGTCAGTAGCAGAAGGACCAAGAATATGAGTGGCAAGAAAGAAATGTCTTAGGGCAAGAGTGGCAAAGGACCCGAGGACACTTATGGGTTACCGTAAATGTACTAGGAATTGGGTTATTTATTTATTCATTCATTTAATATATTTATACTCTGCCTTTCTCACATGTTGGGATTCAAGGTGACTTATGACCTTTAAAAACAACATTAGAAAATAAAAAGTAATAAAAACAAGCTAGCTAAAAACAGTAATTAAAATATCGCAAACACGCTTTAAACCAGCAATGATATTATAATAAAGGTAGATAGTGTTAAGTTGTGGGTGAACATATCAGACGACACAGCAATTCTTCAAACAGCTCTTGTTTATTCACAGGCCAGAACAGAACTGAACTGAAGGGTTCAGCCAGCCTGCTTATATAGAGCTCCACTAGAACGCAACAGTAACCATTTTCTGTAACTATCCAATCACTGAACGTCACTTTCAATCCCTTATTTGCATATGTGGACCTGAGTGAAAACTATCTACAGTATCCCCCTGCTGGCCCAGGGTGAGAACTTCAGTACATAACAGATAGGGGAAATTTGGGAAGTTTTCTGATCAGTATCGGGTGGTGTGGTGGGACTGTTCCGCTCCCCTGACCTCCCTCTGACTGAGTCAATATTGCATACCAAGAGAGAGTGGGGAAGGCACGAGGCGGCGACTAGGTCAGGGTGGTGCAAACACAATACCAGGAGCACTGGATTGGCTCCACTGGTGTATCTGTCTTTGCCTGGCCTCACCGCTGCCTCATCCATCACAATCTCCATCCTACTATGCAGCAGCAACTCAGCTGGAGGGAGGATTAGTCCCACCATGCTGTCCACTACTATTTCTACTCCTGAAGCATAAAGCAGCCTCCCCCATGCTTGGATGGACAACACACTTGCACCAAATGTGGCCCAAAGGGAAGGGCAGGACATCCTGCAATAGGAAGCACAGCCGTCTGCTTCTTGCAATATGAGCTCAGCCACTGGCTGTGTTGTTCTCTGGGTGCCTTCTTTAGACAGCGTAAGGGCTGAATGGAAAGGGTGGCAAGGACATGGCAGCAGAAATCTTCACTACACTTCTGGCTTGCCACAGCCAGCCCTTAATGGGTATCTTTTCCAGGAAGGACTCAGTTAATTTTACAGACCAGGATAGGAAATGATTTCAAATTACGGACCTGAACAATTTGGCCCCACTGATTGTGTGCCTTTAAATGTTGTAGCAGCTCTGTGGGATAAACCCACAAGAAGGAATCTCCCACTGACAGTCTTGTAGGGTACCAGGTTCTTATTGATTTCAGCAGCATGTACCTCAGTATAAATGTGTCAAAAGTTGTGACCTTAAAAGGTTAAGCTAGGAATGAAGCCTGTGTCTTACCTGCCTATAAAATCACTACAATTTTGTTGTTGTTGTTGCTGCTGCTGCTGCTGCTGTTGTTGCTACTGTGATGGTTTCAGCTATCAGGGAAAGACATATTTGTACTGTTGTGCAGCAAGGACAGACTTGTTAAACTAAGGTTTAAATGGCAACGGTAATATATTTACAATTGCTTGCATTGATCCGGAACCCTTCTTGCACAGGGGACTTCTATTCTGTTCTGTTCTGTTCTGAGAGAGGGGCAGACTTTGGTCTTTCAAATTTCAGCAGTGCCCTGTGCAAGGCCAAAATTTGGCACATCCTGCCTCTCACTTTTTTGCTCAGCTTTATTCGTTACTCATTAAAAATGCAGATATAAGTGAAAACGGCATACCAAAATGTATTTTATTAGATAAAATTGCTCTGAAAAAAATGTATATATTAGGATAGATTCATACCAAAATGCTGATGAATTTCTATGAGTATTATTATTTTTTAATTTGCAAACTGATGCAGAAATGTGGAAAGCTGAGTTTAAGATTGGAAATATAAGAAACTGGAGGAAACCGAAATTGATAAATTCACCCCACTCTTATTCTCATGTTGTGCTGTGTACAGCCTCCCAGAGGGAAGCTCGCAGATGCTTTTCCCTTCTTTGCCACACTGAACTAAGTTTGCTTAACATGCCATCCAAACCACAGGCTCGTGGTTTAGCTCTAACCAGACTAACCACAAGCCATAGCCAAGCTTTGTTGTTTATGATTCATGGCTAGTCTGGCTAAACCACGAATCTGGGTTTGAACAAAGTGTAAAGCGAAACTCGGGCTTAGCTTAGCACATCACAGCAGCACCTCACAATTGACACCTCAGACAATTTTTCATTTCTCAGTGTTATGGGGGAGAATGGGGAAGATATGGGCTTGTTGCTTTTACTGGCAGCCCTGCATAAAGCAAAACTTCTTGTCTTGGCCTGGGGGAGAGGAAGAGATCCAGAGCTGACAATGCAAAGAGATTGCAGTCAGTGGTATAAAGCCTTCAGTGAACCTATGTGAATCTATGTGTGAGATTGTGTCTTCTCTGCAGATGAGCTATCACAGTTGAGAATGGAACATATAAGCAGGAGGTCTTGCAGTTCTAAATGAAAAAGCTAGCGGCAAGGTATCGCTCTGAGGGACCCGTATTCTTGGAAGCTCTTTCTCCTATCCAGTTTTGTTATTATTGGAGGCACACTGCAAAACTTCTTCAAGGTTGTGGGGGAGGAACAGAGCTAAGTTATGCTTTTGGGCTTGGTAGACTAAATGCCTGCTGCAGGGGATGGGAGCCCTGATTTTTCAGTTATTGCAGCAGAAATGCCATCAGTTCAAAACTTTAGAAGCAAGAGGGAACTTCTGAATTCATACACATGACACTTTACATGGTCTCTAATTGGAGGATTAGATTTGGTATCACTCAGCTAGAGAACATGCAACATTTCTGATTATTCCATCCTCAGTGTTCCATAACAGCAGCCTTGACTACAGCATCCTTTAGAGCAGTTGCACAAGGCAGAAGTCAAAAAGTTTAGCTGTAAGAATTTGGTATACTGCATTTTATTAATCATTGTAATACACATACACTTGAGCAGGCTCCAGAACTCCTTAGATTTTTCAATATATATGTTGGTGTGACTTGCCTCCTAGCCCACATACATAACTCTGAATCGTGGCCTGTGATGAGGCAAAACTTGATAGAATTATTGGATGCCTCATGTCTCTTAGGGCTTACCTTGTTCTTAAATTCTACCCCTGATATTCAAAGTTGGTCAACGAAGGATGACTCCATAGAAATGAAATGTAACAGTTTCCTATTTGGTATGCAGAATCCGGATGAAATCAGGGGAACTTTAAACAATTTGTTAATATGTGATGAATAATTGGCCATGACAGCAGAATAATAAAGTAAAAAATGGCAAAATCTCTGTTACTTAAGTAACTAACTGCTGGTAATTTTATCATGTCAAGGTCCTGTAAAAGAATTAGATTAATGAAAGAACATGCCTGCCTATTTTCCATTTTATTAATTGACGTTCCTCCCTTCCCCCACAAATGTTCTTACTATATTCCAAGTGATAAAAATAGAAACGGCCGTGCTGCCATGGTTCCCCACACAACTTTAGAGTCTCTTTCCATTTTCTTTGATGCAATTTCACATAAAAATCTGGTTTGACAAAAGACCAGCCCAGTGCGTCCCCTAGTGGTTATGTCCTGAGGGGAAACCTTGACAATAATCATGGTCATTAGGAGATCATTGCAAACAGCAGAAGTGTTAACTTGTAGCTTCCAGCCTGAACATCAATTCAATTAATAACCTCAAAAAATATCTTGCAGATTCACAGTTTGACTAAACTGTTTGTTTCATTTTTCCAGGCCTAAGCTGCCAAGCAGTCACAATATTCCACTTCATAAGGGAAGTAGCAATTTATAAGGAAATGTTTCCTCCCTTATAGCCCACATTCAACAATGTGCTTAAACAAATGCTTAGATTTTTTTTAAAAAAACTGCATTCATTTTGATATAAGAATTAGTGACCCCAGGTGTATATTTCTATTGTTTTAATAATGTTTTAATATTTCACTTTAATTGCATTTTACCTTTTAGAATGTATTAGGCTTGATTTTTGTGTGTTCTGCATTTGCAAGTTCCCCCCTGCTACGCTGCATGCCATCTCTCCCTATCCACCCCTGAAAGTGGTACAAACGGTAGGATGTTTTAGCACCAGAGTGTAAATCAGCTATCCTTGAAACTATCTGAGACCCAGGAAGAGGGTTTTATGATGCTGTTCCCTCATTAAAGGCTAGGTTGCCAGGGTAACGCCGGACATCCAAGACCTAAAATTGTCTGGGCACTTCAGGGCCACTCCAAAGTGCTGTGGGGGTGACGATACCAGTATGGAGCCATGTGTGCTTTACTTCTCATGACCTGTAACCTTCCCTGACGTATGTAAAAATGTTTTATAACACTTCGTTTGCTGTGTTTGAACTAATATATAAGCTTTTGTTCTGAAGTGCCTCGGGGCAGACCTTCTCAACTGGCATGTTGAGTTGAGTGAGCTCTGACCTATTGCAATAGCTATAATAAACACTGGGTCCCTAAATCTGGATGCTGGACTTGAAAATAGTTTCCTTGCTTCTGTGGTTTATTCTAAAGGTTGTTGTTCCTCACCTGGGTTATGAACAAGGTGGTGTAGAGGTGAATTCTTATGACAATTTTTATCTGAATGGAAGCTTGCAGCTGCTTGAAGTTGGTGCTGCAAATATATTGTAAAGCTCATTCCATGGACTTTCGATGGCTACATATGAATATTTTGTCACACATTTTACCACAGATTTTATCACTCACCCATAACCAATTTGTGGTATAATCCTCCTTACCACCTGTTAGCTTGGTCATCTGTACTTTAAGAATAAAACTGAAGTCACTCCCTAAGAGTGACAAAAAGGACTTCGTTTGAATGTTCAATTAGTGGTATTGTAGCTGCCAAAAATGAGGAAAGCTCTTTCTGTAGCCAGAAAGGTTGTGGTGTTTTTCTGTCAGTGTTAACTGCCCCTGTGGGTTCTTGTGATTTCAGATTTATTTGCTAGCCTGGGTAAAATGGGTGCAATCTCCATGCAGCCATCTGGACGCCACTTCACGCAATCAGCTTTCCACATGGAGCGCTGCACACATATTTCTGATTTTCTGTAATCTTTATGTGAAAGAATAGGCTATTGCCTGCTCACATGACTATAAAGCAGTTTTTTCAGTGTTGTAAGAGATTGTCCTGATATAGCAATACTTAAAACATACAAACCATACAAACCTTTTCAACTCTGATGGGTCATCCACAGGTCACTGTGAGCACCACACACAATGGACAACATCATACCTTCCATTTCATTTTACATAACATTTCACAGATAACAACAGTCATTTTTTGTAGCTGTAATGCCAGTAGCGCAGCTAGGCAAATTTAGTTCTCAAAAGTAATAGTCTTATAGGGATGCAGGACCCCTGTGTATTGCTCCTTTTCTCCCCCATCATTTCATGCTTTACCACTATTTCTGTAGTCCTAATATGTTAGAGCAAAATAAGTTTTCCAGCCCTGATTTTTTTGTTAAAAAAGAAGTGCTCTGAGCATGTGCAGTTTCACAAAATTCACTTAAATCATAGTGCCGTCACTACCAAAGGGGAAAACCAAAGGTGCAGGGCAAAAATGTTCCTCTTCAACCAGACCTTTGGCGGATTAACATCCTATTATACTTTTAAATGTGTTTTGGGGGTATTATTTCATTTTGTTTTTGTTCTTGTTTTTATTTTGCATTTTTTTCTCCTCTCACCATTGGAATGAGAGGAAGAAACGTGCTTTTTGCAGACATTGGCTGCAAGAGGTACTTCTCTCTTGTACATCAATGCCTGTAAAATGCAGGCTTCTTTCTGTGCTTTTCCTACCTCTTGCCTGCCATGGGGAGGGGAGAAATAAATACTATCCTGGCTGCTTCCAGAAATGCTCAGCACAGGGATTGTATGAGCCCCATGCAAGGGATTTTGACAGATGGGCAGGGCAACCCAACTATCATGTGATGTCATAGTGACATTGTGTGATTGACAGGTGGGTGCCCTTTGTCAAATTTGGCCTGTGAGGCCAATCCTGAGATGGATCTGGTCCATGAAGCCAAAATGGTTCCCCACTGAGGAAATAGAAGGATTTTTCAAACACCTTCATCTGCCCCAGCTGCAACAAAAAATGCCTCTGTCTCTATAGCCACAGCAGGTGCAAACTCTCCCCAACAGTTTGACTTCACCCCCAATGTATGCCAGCCTTCAACAGAACAGTGTCCTCTGTAAAGTAGGACATATAGCTATCCATTCACTATCAGGTGGGTAGTAACCTGATCATAATAGGTATATTGAAGCAGATAATAGATTGGACCTGATTGTGTTTATTATATCTGTAGTCAGTGTTACCAACTGGGACAGGTAGTTATGGGGAGCTGGAAGTGAAAAATAGGTGATAAACAAGATGCAATAACTTTGCACAGTTTTATCCAACAGACATCCTGTTGAATTTAGTGGCAGAACTCCCCTTATTTTTTTACAGGTTTTTTTCCCTTCCTTCCCCATTATCAGAATTTAGATCCAGGAATCCAGCTGCATGAATAGGGGCAAAAGGTTTTTGTAAGCTAGACCTATTTCTGTCAGTCTGTTTTCAGATAGCGCAGAACTTTCTCAACAACTTTTGCTTCACTCTGCAGCTTTGCAGCTTCTCATGCTCTTATTCAGCCAGAGGCAAATGTTTTGAAAAATCTGAACAAAAACAGTTCATCCAATTTTGAGTTATGACAGTGTGAAATAAATGCATTAGTTCTGCTCTCAAATAATTGTTCAGTTGTGAGATTTTTGGGGGGTGAATAATTAATTCAAATCGCCTAAGTTTTAAGCATTCAAACTCAGAGTGTATAGAATATTTAGTGAAGAATGCCTTCCTTGAGAGGCTTGGAAAAATGGTTTTGAAATAAATGTATTAACTTTTGCTGATAACACACCTCGCCTTAACACGATGGCTTTGGACCCCCCTCCCTTTTTGCATTGTACATCCTGCATATGTCATTTGTCTAAACATTTGGGTGAACGTCGCTTCCTAATTCTGAGACATTATTTATCATCTGTAAAACAAATATGACTTTGAAAAATTAACACTATGGAGAGAAAATCTATTAAACTGTCTATTTCACCCTATTCTCCTGCATCATTTATCTGGTAAAATATTGAATTGTACAGCATATT